AAGACTAATTTGGAGTTGAGGTGACCGCTGTGTGATGAGGAGTTGTCCTAGTGTTAGAGTTACCCTTGGGGTAACTGTTGTTTGTGCTTGACCAGCACTAGGAAATTATTATTTTTGGGATGACTATACATATATGGAGTTAGATTTTTGTACACATAAACTTAGTTATTATTATTATATTACATATATACATGTATGTATGAGTTATCTAGTTTTAATATTTCTCTTAGTTCACTAGTAGTAGTCAATTCCACTAAGTGCGTAGAAATCATGGTAGGTCGTTACAGTTACAAATAAATTAAAGTTGTACGGACTAAAAATAATCTAAAAAAATAAATACAAACACTAAAAAGGTTTATCTTAAATTATAAAAATTATAAAAATTTAAATGTATATATAAAAATATTTATTTTAAACTATAATGATTAAAAAAAATTACTTTAAACTATAAAAATTAAAAAAAATTATTTTAAACTTTAAAAATTAAAAAGTACGTAAGTAAAACAGCCCGTTCTCCTTGAAGAACGGCCCGTTCTCCTTGCAAAACAGCCCGTTCTCTTTGCAGAACGGGCCGTTCTCCTTGCTGAGGGTAGTCCATATTCAGGATCCAGAAGGCCTTGTACAAATTTCTGCTCCTGTCTGCAGCCAAAGATAAACATTATGATACCTTCGAACGGAATAAAGAAAGGAGGGAAGAAGATAAGAAAGAAACCTTCGAACGTAGGAAAGGAGCGAAGAACGGGAACGAAATCTGAATGCTCCCAACCAATGGCGTTACGTGTTGGCTGCGAAATCTGAACGAAATCTAGTGAAGAATGGAGAGGCATTAGTGTTGGCTGCGAAGCAGGGAGAGCGGGAAGGAAATCTGATGAAGAATGGGAAAGAATGGTGAGGCGCTACGCAACTTAAATTCAAAAATTCAACTTGAATTTACGTTGGACAATAAAGGGACCGACGTAAATTCAACAATCTACGTCGGTTGTAGCTGAGTTCCGACGTAGATTGTTGAATTTACGTCGGTCCCTTTGCTGTCTGACGTAAAAAAATTTGCATTATTTTCAAAAATGCCACCGCGTCGTTTTTACGTTGGATATGTTGTAGTCTGACGTGAAAATACAGACGTAAAAAGCCTCTTTTGCACTAGTGATGGGGCCTGTTAAGCTGTAAGTTCGCTAGCTATTAAGGATAAGCTTATCATCCTATTTAAAGTCTGAATATGAAATATCTTTTCAAGATTAGCCACCCAAACTAAACTTATATAAGCCACATATCTATGAAACAAAAATAAAATAAACCACATGTAAATATTATGAATTTCATAATGAATTATTTACAATCAAGTTCATTTATTTTTAATCATATATGAAGCGAATTTAATCATTTTTATACATATAATTAATCATGTGTGATACTCCCTCCGTTTTTTTTTCATAGTCGTTTAAGATTTTGCACGGGACTTAAGAAAATCATTGATATTTTAGTTTTCAAAAATATTTATTACTTACTTTCCTATTTTACCCTCTATTTTTTTTTGCATGTTTTAGACTGTTGAACTACTCCATTAAGTAGTTATCCCTTTTTTTTTTTGTTTTTTTATAGTATTTTGTTTAGAACATATTGTTCTTATAAATGCACATTAACTTTATGTGAGTAGTTAGAGAAAAATTAGGTAGACATTAAAAATAAATACACACATTGTTCAAGAAACATGTATTAATTATTAAGGGTAAAAATGGAAGAAAAAAATTAATAATTCATTGATTTTAGTAATATGACAATGAAAAAAAAAACAACAAACTCTGACAAAACGACTATGAAAAAAAAATGGAGGGAATAATTAATAATCACTAACAACTTAATTATAAGAATAAATGAATCACTATTTATTTTTTTTACTGGCACTATATGATATTTTAACAATCTTATAATATTATTATTTACACATTCATAATCATATATAATTACTTTTATTTACTCTTTACAATTCAAAAAATAAAATTAATCATTTTTTCTCTCTTAATTAACTACATATCCGGGTAGATAGCAGGTGGTGAATGATAAGTGGATGAATGTGTTTAGAAAATATGTGAAATTTAAATTATTTCAATAATCAATTATATATAATAATAATAATAATATAATAATAATAATAATAATAATAATAATAATAATTATTATTATTATTATTATTATTATTATTATTATTGATTATAATTAGAATAAACTATTATTTGAATAAATTTGTTGAAAAGTAATTTTGAGATATTTAATTTCATTAATATATAACAACAAAAATTGACTTTTATTTAAATCAGTTTGAGAAGAAAAATAAATCTGTTAGAAAATAATAAGTTTCAAATTTTCAAATTCAAGAAAATAGCTTTTTTTTATTTTTAAAAATCTTTTTGAAAAATAAAATAAAATTTGGATCATGTGTTCATAGACTCCTATTATCATCTATAACTATAAATAAAGATGACAACTTTTATTTGTATACATATTTTCTTTTCAATTTTATCCTTCTAATCACTTCTTTAATTACTCTACTATCCACACCATTTGATTAACTATCCACTCTACAAAATTACACACCACACCATTGGATTAACTACCCACTCTACAAACTATCTATAATCTTCCATAAACTATTCACCAATATATAACTTTTACAATTCTTTTTATTTTTCTTTAAAATATGATTATCATAACACATTGCAGAACTTGCGCTCACAGCAAAACACTTGAAAACCCTCTTCTTCAAGTAATTCATCTGCACCATGGCTTCAATTCCATTTCTAACCATTTATTTATTTTATTAAAGCAGATTTTTTCCTTGCAATTTGAATGCACTTATGGCTGTTAGTGTCTTAGCTTTCCATCACCTATACGATCATCTTTAAATTTTGGATTTTCTTTTATGGTTTCTATATATTCATGTGTGGGAAGAGGTGGCCAACAAACGTTCAAGCATTACAATTTATTGCTGACATGAAATCTGATGCCGACATGAAATTGATGGCTCGTAATTTTTTTTTTCTTTAACTTTCATGCTAAGTTTAATCCACTTTGTTGAATACAGTTTATCCCAAAATTAATGCATCAATATTATATCATAATTTAGGAAAAAGATTATGTATCTAAGTTGTAATCTTGGCCTCTAAATGTGTTCTTTCCATTTTTCCAACCCCTTCCCCATCCTTTTTTCAATGACCCTCACTTGTCTTAATTTTCGGGTTTAGGGTGTCTTGACAAATCTCTTCCTAATACAATAAAGTTATTTGACATAGTTTGTATATCCACATCAATTATATATCCTCTTTGCGCATAAGAGAAAAAAAAGTGATATAAATGTAATAAATCAATGTCTTTTTTTTCTTGCTGTCTAATTGCGTTCTCATTCTTCTTCTTTTCCTACATATAGATTGGTTCTATTAATAGATTATCTTATGTTTATTTTGGTAAAGAGTCACAATTCTTTAAACAAACACATTTCATGACAATTAATGAATAACATTTTATGACTTTTGCTAAAAGAACACATAGTCTCATTAAAACAATACAACCATTCATACTTACATTTATTCATGAAGGAACATTTACTTTCATGAAAAATACAACTATTCATTTATACACATTTTTATGGATAAATGTATATTCTAAAGTCTTAATTCATAATACTAGACACCAATTTAAAGCGGCTAATTTACCTTAAAAAAGAAAATAAGTTTGTGTTTGGAAACATGATAGATATGCATGTATCTAGAAATTTTACGTCAATTTAAAATTATGGAGAAAATCAACTGTCTATATTATGTAAATATTCGTAATAAATCATCAAATATATTAAAGTATCAACTATTAATTTTTCATTAACGACAAATATTACTTAGTTCTTAATCAATGCAGAGAAACTAAATCTTAGTTTTGAAGGCATCAACCCTAACTGTTTCTTTGAAAGAATGCTTAGAATAAAATATTGAACTAGCTAAGCAAAAGTGGCCAAATTTTTTTAATTATTTTATTTGTTCTTTCCCCTTTTTCTTCTATATTACTTTAGTTATTTCACCGGAGAACTAAACCTGGAGTGTAAAATAACAGCACTGATGTGATTTTTGTTAGAACTTGATCCACTTGAGCAGGAAAATTGAGTGGTAATTTGCAAAAGGGAATTCCATGTTGATGTCTATGGTTGTTTGTGCATCTAAAACGTCACATACAAAGCCACTGTGTTTTGATACCCAAAGGAAGAACAAATACTATTCTGTTCACTTCCTTGGTGCTATTCTTAATAATGCTTATTGCGGTTTTGGTAATTAAGGGGAAGAAAATCCTGTTCCTTAATTGTTTACAAATGTCCGAGATACTTTCCTCTACAGATCATAATGCATGAATTCAGTTTGCTGCTAAAATGGGGGAGATCTGTATGGGTTGTATTTAATTAATGATCCAAATGAATATTTTTCCTTTCATCACCATATTTTGTTTGTGGTAGTCATTTGGAATTTGAACCTGCACTAATCTTTGGTGCCTATTAGGCTTAACATACTAGATTATTGTTTCTGTGAAGCTCTTTGAATGAATGAATTATTGAACAAAGCTGTATGAAATATTACGTTCCATATTTATCAGTCTCCATTATATTTGGAAATCCTTTATCTGCACATTGTGCATTTCAGATTTTAATTTCCTGATGTAGCTACTTTAGACTGTTTTACATCTAAAGTAGGGATATTACTGACCATTTTTTTCTAAAAGCCTCTATCTTCAAAATGAGATTCTTCACTGACTAAAAAAGGTCTAAGTGAGAGTTTATAAAGGTTGAAAAATCTTCATTATTACACACTAGTTTTGTAAAGTTGAGTTAAATCTCAAGTCTAAATATTAAGTTGAGAAACAAAAGTTTTTGTTGTTAAAGCTATGCCCATGTGCCAAAAAGTTGGTCCAACTGAAATTCAAAAGAGATTGAGATCAATTAAACAAAATATAATTTATTTTCTACTTTTTCCCCCTCTTTCCATTCTCATTGTTACATTGTTACAGGGACAATTTTCTTGGTAACGGTTTAGAATTTGGATATTATTTATGCCTTCTACAGTTGAGAATTTGGATAGAAGTTTCTCAACTCAAGCAGGGAGAACATTTGTGGTGTGTTGGCAGATACTATTTGTTTGGCTCAGCTTTTACTCTGCATTGCTGAGCGCAAATTCTGAAAGCAGACAGAAGGCACTTGTCAAATGAGCTTTTACACGTAGTAAAACCAATTTAAACATGGAGGCAGAAGATCTTGATGAGGATGGAACTCTGGAGTTAGCTGAACATTCTTTTGTTGGCAGTTCACACTTTTCATTATCGTTTTTGGTAAGTTTCTTTCATTGATTATTGCTCATAGGGTTGCTGAATTATTTATTTATAAGGCTAAAGAGATGGGGGAAGACTAGTCAAGAACACATTTCACTTGGCATGAGGAGTTTGAAGAGCTTTACATTGATCAGATTGGTAAACAGTCAGTTTCTGACTAAACATTTACTCACTCATGTTAATTTACCAACGCATCATATACATCAAGTTGTTATAGACTAGTTTGCATATTTTACTTCATGATGAAATGCACACCAGAGTTCTGATGAATTGGAAAGTCAAATTTGGTAGGCATTTATTGATCAGGTTGCAAACACAGATGTGGTTTCTCTAGTAGTGGCTCCATGCAGTTTGAAGCATTCAAGAAGTGTAAGAGGAAAAAGTCCAACATGTTAGACCTGCAGGAAAGCATTAATATTCATGGTAAGTAGTTAATCAAGCCATTCATGTAAATATCTAATTAATAAATATATACTTATATGACTTGATTAATCACTTTCCCATTGCCATCACTTCAGCTTGGATTGCATGCATCCATGATCGCTTAACTTCCTATTTTACTTGTTCTACCTATAAAACTGAAAGAAAGTATTAGAACCAAGAGCAAGCCACACCTACCATGGCGACCCAGTCACAATTTCCCTTGACTTGAAAATGTCTGATTTATTAACTTCTACTTTTTCATGTAAAGGCCGTTCTCAAATTCTTCATTCATATTTTTAAGGAGACTATATAATTGAAACTAAGCAGTTACCAAACTAGTCCTTAAAAGCATGGATCCATATTCCTACAGTTAGTTTTTTCATGCATCCAGCAACTTGGAACAGGATGAAAATCAAACGTCTCGTATTTATCTAAGTAAATTAGACTTTAAACAGGCATGCAAGATTTGAGTAACGTCATCTTCATCCAACAGTTACAATATATATGTTAACCGCATGAATGCGTGGAAAAAAAGATGACAGCACAAAGATCAGTTTTCAAATCATGTACATTCTATTCCAACCTCAACTAAAATCAGTTCCTAAAGGCACGAGTTGCTCTTGGTCAAAACAAAATTCGAGCAGGCATTGCTGAAGGTACAGTTTTGAGGATAATAATAATAATAGTGCTATCGATTTTGGTGCTTGTTCCTAGAATCCTAGTAAGTGTCCTCTCACAAGTTACATTACTGATTCTGATAAGTTAAATGAGCAAGAAACATAATAGATACACACTCGATGTCAAAGGATATTGGTTTCAATATGAAGAGCTTTGAACATAATTTTTTTGTTGAACCCCTTTCAGCCAAGAACTAACAGGAGGAAACAAAATTTGTTAGCTAGTTGATAGATATAAAGACAAGAAAGCTTTATTAGCTAGTTCAAGTTGCTATGTAGACAAACACAATGAACCATTTTCTTTCTTGCCCTACAAAAATGAGGGTCGTATAGCTAAAGTGAGTAAATTCAGACCTACTTAGAACTACCCTTCTTGCCTGTTTGGAACACCGGCGAAAAAGTGAGACAAGAAAATTTTGAAATTTGAATTGAAATAAAAGTAAAAGTAAAGTTTTTAGAAATCAAATTTTTTCTCCTTGTCTTTTTATTTTCTCTCCAATCAAACAAAAAGAATAAATGTTACTCGTATTTTTTTTTTCACTCAATTTGCTTTCTTTTCATACAAAGAATATAGAGGAAAAAAGATGTAAGAGATTGTTCATGGCTAAGCAGCATTTATAGCCATTACAAGTGAAGGGCTATGAAATTGATGATGGTATAACCCAATTGAGTAAATTCAAACCTACCAATATATTTTAAGTTATAAAAACCGAACACATAGGAGACTTGGAGAGAAAATATGTACTATTATTATTAATGGTTAAGCAGCATTTATAGCCATTACAAAGAAAGATAAAAGGTCCAAAACACAACTGTGCTGGCTGTGATATACTAATTTAATCTTTTAATCCCTTTATCTATAGTAGTTGAGCAGCCCCAGTTATATGTTATCTGCGATCTACTCTGGCCTATGCTATGCTATCACCATCTTCTCTTCACAATTAATCACCTACAAACACAAGAGTACAAACTGTGTAATTATTTTATATTTTCAATATTCAAATTCAAATTTTCATGTTGATGCCTTGAAAAAATTGAGAATAAGCAGCACATGACAGTAACACTGTGCAGCCAACGTGGGAGGCACATGGGGCACGTACGGTTAAATTAATTCCCTTCTCGGCATATATTTAATTACATTAGATTTTGCACCAATACAGTAAGTAGCAACACCAATGGGTTTTGGAATTATTGAGAAAATATATGTCCGATTTCAGAGTACTGAAATTTATGTTTGAATTGAAAATTTGTATTGGGACGATAAAGAGAAAAATAAGGAAAATGGTAAAAAAAAAATGAGAAAAAGATGTATGATAAAATTGATGCAACGGACATATTAAAACTAGAAAGAAAAAAGAAAAAAAAAATATGCCGACACTGCCACGCAATATATGCGGGTGACCCGCCAATGATGACAAAAGGGTGACTTAAGCATTACCCTATCAAATTGAACACAGCTCACTATCAGTACTGGGCTCTCAAGTAAAATAAACTTTTTAAATATACATTTTTTTTTCCATCAATTATTCTTTTGATTGCCAAACATACTTTAGAGAATTTTTCTACGCTAACTTACAGTCACACTGTCAGAATCGCAACCCCAGAACATTCCCATTTCCCATTAACTAAAAACTATCCTCAGATACTCACTCAATTAAAACATTGAATCATGCACATACAGCCAATCAAATTTCAAAATTATTCCAAAATCACTTGCAACAAAGTTCACACACTTACTAATCATTTAAAAAGAAAATACCAGTTATCTAACCGCATGTTTTTCATTTAATTTACACATTAAATAAATAGAGTAAATATTAACAAATTGATAATTAATATTAATTATTAACCAGTGTAATTAATTAATGAATATTTGACTTGCCGTTTCTAACAATTTTTCTTTATACTACTTTCTCTGAGAAGTAAATCTAGTACTGAGAGTTTAAAATTTTCAAACTATAATGTCTTCATTATAATTTTTTACTGTTCTTAAGGATTAAATTATTTTTTTTTTAATTTGTTTGTTATAGGCTAAAAACTATAGAAAATTTACCCATCACTTGAGTTTCTCTTAATTTAGTAACAAGACCCTCCAAAACTTGATTTAAAATCAATGATATAAAGTATTAATAAGAAAACATTAGCGAATATATCTCGTAATAAACATCTAATCACAAAAATAAAATTTAAAAAAAAAAACATTACAGAACTACTAGGATAGTATACACAATGTCGGTGTCATTGTAATCTTTACAGTTATATATAAAAATTTTATTTTATTTTATTTTACTAAAACGACAATGTACAGAACTTGAATTAAAAGGAAATGCTTTTTTCGAATTTTATAAAATTTATTTAAAAAAGAAAAAAAGAAAAAAAAAGAGGAGAATGAATAGCAATAAATGGAGGGTTTTAGGGTTGGATTGGATTCTTACACAGAGAGTTTCTCTAATCGGACTTGTGCGCGGCGTCGAGCGGCGGATCGGGGTGGTGGCCGGCGACGAAGTGGAGGAGGTCCTCGGCGGGCTTGGGAAGGTCCACGTCGGAGGGCGGCGGAGGCTGCGTCTTGCCGAAGAAGAGAACGAGCGCGAGGAAGAGCGCGGTGGAGAGAAAGAGCGGCCAGAAGAAGGCCAAGACGTTGAGGAACCTTGGTGCGAGGTAGAGAAAAGAGAAGATAGCGAGGCAAAGGAGAAGTGCCCCAGCGATGTGGTACCTGAACTTGAATAGTTGCTTTTGGATCTCCATGGCGGTGGTGATGCTAAATGATTGTGATTGTGATGGTGATGGCTTTGTGATGAGTGAGTGAGGATAGTGGGGGAGAGAGGTTTATAATGTGGAGAGAGAGAGAGAGAGAGAGAGAAGGATAACAAAACGTTACTTTACTTGTGTTTTTTTTTTACTTTTTGTTTCTCTCCAGAGATTCTCTTTTGAGACGTTTTACAGTCTTCTGTCTGGCACTTGCCAAATTACGGGGCTGTCCTTACCTTTTACAGGGTGCCCAACTATTATAAAGTAAATAATTTATTTTTAAAAAATAAATTATTTACTTTTATCTACTTGTTAAAGAGCTTTTCAAAAATATATTATTTTCAAACACCACTAAATACATGATCAGTTGGGATTTAAAAATAGCTAATAGTTTGTTTTAATTTTATTTTTAATTTGTAAATAAATAATTTTTTTTAAAATTAAATAAATTAAACACATAGCGATTGATTTGTGGTGTTTGATTCGCTAGAATTCATTGTCCAAGACAAGAAAGAAACAATTATTCCACGTTTAATTTACAAAAGAGTCACACGGGAGAAAAAAACAAAGACACCATAAAAATTCTACTTTTTATTACTTAAGAAATTATTGGACAACTTTTTATCACAAGTATAAAATCATTCACTACAATGTTATTGTACTACTAATAGAGAAGTGTTAATAATTAATATACTCATTTTCATTAGTTAAAATTTATTAAAAAATTATCAAATCACTAGGAGAGTTATTAAAAAGAATGTGAGAGTCATCAAAGTTAGTATTTTTTAATAAATTTCAATTGAGTGTTTATAAAATAGCATGTTATGAAATGTATTACTAGCATTTTTTTATATCGATATCACTTTGATCATTATTCATCCCCACTTAACATTATCATCTACGTACCACTATCATTGTTGTAACACACCACTACCATCATATCTTATCATCATCATTAATATCGTTATTATGACTACTATAACCATCATTATTATTGTAATTATCATCACAATTCTCATCATCATCACCCTTTTAAGATAATAATGATAGTTAATATTGGAAAAATATTATGATAAATTTAGTATTACTTTATTTTTGTTATCTATTATTCAATAAATAATATACATAACAAAGTTATTTAGTAACTTAAATATTTATATTGTATTGTTCTCTTTATCTTATATCTTAATATGCATCAAACATAACCCAAAATTCAACACCAAAAAATAATATTATAAATTATAAATAGTTAATAGGGAGTTGCTACGGTACCCTCAAAGATTGAAGGGTTTCAATACATTTTTTTATGTAAATTTATAAAAGATTTTAAAAAAATTAATTTAATTATAAAAT